TTAGCTAGTGATCTGGACTGGGTTTGAATTTAAAGACTAGAGCTGGGGGAAATATAAACTTCAAACCAGACATTACCAGCCAGAAGCCCATGTATTTAAGTAATAATAGAGAGTACCTCATTCAATTTTGCACTGCATCACCCGGGAAGAGAAAGAGACAGACAGAAAGAAAGAGAAGAGGGTTGTTCTACCTTATCCAAGAATCATTTCTTCCTCTGCACCGACTAGTAAGCTATGGAAGCTTCAACGTACCACCAAGTCCCTCCAATTATAAACAAGGCAACTCCAGACCACACTTAACACTAGGGCAGTGTTTTAAGACCAACCAAAACAGCCCCAAATCCTGCTGCCAAGGTCAATTGCGGGAAAGTCCTAATTGTAAGCTTGACATCAATTTACCACCCACAGAAGGCAGGAGGAGGCAAAGGTTAGAGCAGCAGCTTGTCAAAAAAGCATCATAAGCTGCGTGAGGCTTCGGAGAAAAGGCCCAATCACTGCAGCCAATATGATGTTTCAGTTGATTTTTTTTTTAAAAAAAAGGTGGGGACAGAAAGAAAATCATCCTGAAGGCACCTCCCCCCCTTACCTTCTCTTTCAAGCATAAAAGAAACTTTCTTGTCCTAAGGAAGGTCTGCACTGCTTAATCTTTTTTTTTCCTTTCTGAAATAAAATGACCTCGTGCGTGTTTCAGGTGAAACATTTGGAGATCTTTTCCACACCAGTGTATGTCAGAAAGTAATTGACGCAATCAGGAAGAGTATTCAGGAAGAGCTCTTCCGTGCTGTTTTATATTTGTTTTTATCTTTCAAATGTAATAGTTAAAAATACCTGAAGATCCTGCAGTTATTCATATGGAAGAATCTTATCAGATATACCTCACGTATTAAGAAAAAAGAAGTTTGCCTCAAGGACAGTTAGCAGCTGCAAAGAGCAATTAAAACCTTTGGACGGTGGGAAGTGCTAATTGTCAGTATGAAATGGTTGCTTTTAAGACAATCACCTGTTATTATTTTGACCCATCAAATTAATCATCCTTCCCACTCTGGCCCTCCCCATATCCACTTAAGTCTTTTTTGCAAATTTCTGTAGTATCTGGATTTCATTTCAAGGCAAAAGATAAAGAGCTTGATTTCATTATAAACCCCACCCAAAATGTGGGAAAATGTCTCCCAACAAATCTTTCAGAATTCTTAAATTAATTATTTTAAATTATTTAATTAATAATTATTTTAATTATTATCATACCTTAAAGTGCCTCAGCTAGATATAGCTAAGTTGCTAGACTTCTTCCACACACAAACTGTTAACACTCAGATATCTTCTATGAGTTTCTCACCTTTAAAACGATTCTCCCTACCATTTAAATACATCCCCCAGTACAAAAATAGAGGGCAAGAGTTTGACAGTACAGTAATGCAACACAATTTCCATTCTTTGGAAAGTATTTGTTAGATTTTTTTAAATCCTGCATTTATTTTTGTTAACTCAAGGCAGCGTCCATACTTAGCAGACCTCCCTCCTATTTTTCCTAGAACAACAACTCTGAGAGGTAGGATGGACCGAGAGAGAATGATGAGTCCCAAGTGACCCAGCTTGCTTTCATCCCTAAGGCAGGACTAGAACTCATAGTCTCTTGGTGTCTAGCCAGCACCTTAACCACCACACCAGACTGACTCTCTTATCCAGCCCCTGAGGCTGATGTGAAACACCCAAGTTCAATTCCTTACAGTATTTGGCTACATCTACCTCTCAGGCTTATCCTGAGGTTACAAATGGAAGGAGAAGCAAAGGCTGCATTCATACAGCACACAGAACCCTCAACCATTTACTAGCCAGAATAGTGAGGAGGTTCAGTTTGCAAAGGTACATGCCAACTAACCACATTAAGGTTTAGCAGCACGTGTGAATCTAGCCGAAGTGTTTTCTGATACTGTAACCCTGCCACCTTAACTGCTGCAATCTTTTAAATACACAAGATGCTTGATTACCTATGTAGGAGTATTAGCTAATTTTTTTGCAGGAGGGTTTCCATAATCTTGGACTAGAGTGGTCATATTAGTTAAAGCTCATGTCCAAAATATCTGGGTTTTTTTTTCTTTTTGAGCACATTCCTTTCAGAATTGGAATGGACAGAGAACCACAGTGGGGTTCAGACAGTGTGTTAAACTTTAATTTGCTTATTTTCTTGAATAAATGAAGCCACACTAGCTGAGTTTACTGTATATAAAATGCGAGTAAAGCCTTTTTTGGCTTTGTTGCATGGAAATTCAGCAAGAGAGTTTAAAGAATCTTGGGAGATCAAATACCTTGCTCAGTGCAGTGATTTAATAAGCTGGATAGGCCGAACTCGATCTTCTGCAATTTTCTATTAACTGGGAATTGGCCCAATTTATTTGAAGGGCATCAAATGCAATTTTTTTTTTCCTTTTAATGTGACCACATCATCATTGGCTTATACCCTGTTCAGAAATTTCATTCAGTGAACCTTCAGCTACATTCTGTGAAGATAGGCGTCTGGGTGTCGCTGTCCATTTCATCCGATCCTTCAGACCCCTGAGCATTAAAAAAAAAACCCCCAAAGGCAGGGAAACCAAATCCACATTTTTAATCTGATGGGCCGTGCGACGCCGGCCGCATCCTCGAGGTGGCGCAGCAGAGCAATCGAAACATCCCGGATCCGCAACGATAAACAAACATTTCAGCGCGATTTAAAAAGCGCGGATGCTTTTTCCCAGATTGACAACATACTCAAAAGATTTATCAAGACGTCGCCTTTTCTCTCTCTTCTCCCTCCCTCCCCCAATCCCCATTTCTTCTGATGTTAAAGGGTTCCGCAACCCTAAAGCGACAACCCAACAACAGCTGAAACCTTGGCTGCAAATTAATTTGTGTGTTATGAGATAAAAATTGATTCAAGAATTATTATTTGGAAGCTCGGGTGCCTTGCAGCGGGAGCACAAACACACTTTAAGCAGGAACATCTACCTAATCTTCCGATTGCCCTCGCTCTCTTCCCCCCTCCCCCCCTCCATCACGCAACTCCAAAGAAGTTATTAACCCTTTTGTTTCAAGACAGTCTCCCGGGTGGGTTTCCAGCTGCCGGCAGCGAGATTTACATGTGGCAACATCACCTCCAACGTGCCCCCCTCCCGCGCCAGCTCCATCCTAACCAGATGCACAAAGGAAAAACAGTCATGCATTAAACATGGGATTTATAGCCTTCTGGGCTCGCTCGCTCGTTTTCTTAAATCACCATTAACCGGGCTCAACAATTGCACGTTTGGACTCAAAAGAAAAGAGGGAGGCTGAAGGGGAGGGGAGGGGGGGCAAAGAGACTCAAACCTCCTGCAGCTCTCACCCACCCTTTCCCAAAATATGCATTCCTATCAATTGGGATGTCGGATCTGGGCTTCAGGGAGATCTTCACCCTCTCCTCGCTTGTTTAAACATTAAAAGTAGACCTAAAGATTTCACCCAAAGTTTGCATTTATGCCTCTGGAGCCGGAGGAGAGAGATCCAGAGAGAGAGAGAGAGAGAAAGAGAGAGAGAGATTGGAGAGGTGTATCGATTAGGCATAGTTTCCAATATTTTAAAGTATCAGGTTCCCCCCCCTCCCCACGTCCGAAACTACAAAGCTCAGGGCTCTCTATATTAAACTGATTATTCCTAAAGTGTCTTCCCCTTCCTGGTGGGTCCATTAACTCCATTCATCTCCCATGCGCCTCCCCCGCCCCGGAAAAAAAAAAGGATGGATCATAAGATTTGAAATCCAGTTTTCCAAAACCTTGGAGGAGATTTCAAAGTCCTCGTCTCTAATTCAGCGCACCATCCCGAAATGTACCCCTTTCCCCCTTTCGTCCAGTTCTGCGCTTTTACCATCACCAAAGCGCTTCTTTTCCAGCGCCGGCTCCCCCTCCCCATTATCAAAATCAATTAAATCTGCCAAAAGATCAAGCCACGCTATCAATTATAGGAGATCCGCGTGAGTGAGTGAATGAGAAAGAGAGAGAGAGAGAGAGAGAGAGAGAAGGTGGAGGTTCCATGCAGCTACTTCGGGAAGATTTTTAAAAGCTCTCTGCCCTCCCTTCTCTCTCTCTCCCCCCCCCCCACCATATTAGCTCACGGGAGTTATTTTAGGAAGTCGGAAATCAAAGATGGCTGGAGGTCAGGCTACAAAAGGTCCCGAGCGATTGTAATCTCTCTCTCGGCGAGTTTTTAGTTACTAAATGGCAGAAGCAGCAGCAGTTCATCCAAATAAGAGGCACAAACGGGGAAGGAAGGGGGGGGGAAGAGAGAGATATCACAAAAGGTATTTCGCAGCGTTCCTCTCGGCGCACCCCTCCCTTCCAGAAATATTTAGGGAGTTACCTTCTGGCCGCGGCTTTCTGCTACGATGGCTCCAAATCAATCCCGAGGATATTTGGGGGGGGGGGGCGGGAGAGATGCTAAAAGAAACCCAACACGGGGAGGGAAAAAAAACTTTCCCAAAGGGGGGAGGGGGGTTGGGGGGGGGCAGGGGGGGGGAAAGAGAATCACCCACTACGAAAACCTGGATTTTTTTTTCTTCTTCTCCATAAATAAAAATAGTCTGAGTTCAGAGTTCAATTTCCCTCCCACCGATAAATTAAAACCTACATTCAAGCACCGATGGATGAAGGAAGAAGGAAAGACTATGGGGTGGAAGAGGGGGGGGGGAGGCGCATATTAAGAAATAAAGATACACACTTTCCGATCTGCTCCCGCAGTCGTGGGAAATCGGGATGAAAGAGAAGTGGTCCAGATTTTCGAGAGTTTGGCTCAGGATCCCGGTCAAGAAACCCCGATGCGGCACGGGGTAGGTGGGAGAAGGAGCCACTCACACGCGCACAAAAGCATGCAAACCCCCCCCCCCCCACCCCCCCCCCCCCCCTGGTTTCCCCCCCCCCCCCATCAATTAAAGTTGGAAATTGACCGGCTCTCCCTCGATTGGTTTTTTTTTTTTTTTCTTTTCCTCCCCTTACCATTTGCTACATCCGGGAACTGCCGCTCGTCCGAATGGATGTGCTGGGGCTTCGCTTGCTTGCGCCTCGACATGGTGCACAACACGCATCGGGAGCAAAATAGTAGCAATTATTTTCTTCTTCTTCACAACAAATTCCTGGAGTTGGGAAATTACTCCCAAAGAGCGGAATGCGCATGTCAGAGTAATTATGATTATCAATAATGCATTGCGATTTATCATGGGTCCCTGACAGCTGATTGGCCTGAGTCCAAGAGCTCACAGATTATTCAAATAAGGTCCATTGATCAGGGAGCAGAAGGGGACGCTGGGCACTGTAGTCTCTCCCTCGCCCCGCTCCTGTCCGCCCGGCTTCGTCCGGGTGGTTGAAGGGTGGATGCCGGACGCCGCCGCCGCCGCCGCGCAGGCGAGGGGTTTCGCGCAAGAGGCCCGCCGGCCCGATTGGGTGGTATTTCCCTGAAGGGAAGGAAGAGAGAGAGGGAAAAGAGGCGAGCAGCAGCTCTCGAGTCCATCTTTGAAAGTAAATAAACAGCCGGGGCAGAACTGGTTTTCTTAGGCAGGCTGGACAACCTCCCCCTGCCTCCCTTATCTTCCCCTCGCATTGTCTTCTGCCTCCATGGAGAACTTAGGGCTTGTCCGTGCGCGCGTGGAAAGGATCCTGAGAAGCATCTCCCCCCCCCCCCCCCCCCGTTACACTGAAGAAAACCACATTTTTTCTCCCCAGTCCTCCTCCGGAGGAAGCTTTCGTGCAAACTTTATCCTTTGCTTCTTTACTTTCCCCCACCCCCCTTTTTTGGGGGGGGGGGTGGGGAGGCTGGCTTCAAAGATTTACTTGACAATCAGAGCCGTCGAGTTCGAGAGAAAAAGAACGAAAAGAGGAAATGGTGAAAATCACTCCTGGCCATTTTTTAAAATTTTTATTTATTTTTATTTTATTTTGATTTATATGCCGCCCTTCTCTGGAGACTCAGGGCGGCTTACAATGCGTTAAGCAATACTTTTGTATATTTTATACAAAGTCAGCTTATTGCCCCCACAAACCGGGTCCTCATTTTACCTACCTTAGAAAGGATGGAAGGCTGAGTCAACTTTGAGCCTTGTGAGAATTGAACTCGCAGTAATTGCAGACAGCTGGAAGCTAAATACTACCTTTAACAGTAGCATTAGTCTGCTGCGCCATTCAGGCTTCTTTACATTGAACGAATGTATACATTTTAAAAAATTAATTCCGTGAAAATGCTTTCCTTGAATTGGATTTTTGAGTGTGTGTGCATGTGTGTGGGGAGCTTACTTCATTTTCTGCCAAAAATCCGGAGGGCCACTAGATGGCAGAAGAGAGACGGTGAAATCTGGCTTGGCTGCCACCTGGTGGTCGTCCAGAGGTGTGCAGCCCAGATGGGGTTAGCTCTAGGCTTGCAGGTTCTTTAGCTTATTTGCCTTGATAAGGGTGGGGTGGGGAGCGATTTCCACTTTGAGGAAGAAAGAAAAAGGGATGTACAGAGGAGTTGAGGAGCCTGCATGAATCTGACAATCCGGTTTCAAGCGAATGTTCAAAGATAAGATGGTCCTTGGGGGGGATAAAGGACAAGCTGCTTAAGATTTCCAAACTGTGAATGGATTACCTTGTAAAAAAGGTTGCAAATACAATTCTCCCTTATGACACAGAATATACAGCCTTTTATACAGCCTGAATTTCCACAATGGGCTCACCCAAAGTTAACTGAACTGTGCTTTATTGAGTTAACCCACTATTGTTAGTTTGTGTGACACCCTGAGTTGAGTTCATCAAAGTTAATTCTTGGATTGCTTTCTGGAATCAAATAGGACATCCAACACAGAAAAATCACAAAGCCCATAAACTGTTATAACCCAAGGAAACTTAACTGGATGTGGGTATGTGAAACTTATAACTCATTGGCTTAATTGTGGGGTATAAACTCAGACATGAAATCCTAAACCAGCCTCCTAGCTGGGTTCACACAACACACTTAAGTGTCAAATAGATTTGACAAGTTTGTGGTTCAGTTTGCTCCAATGAAGGACAAAATAGGAAGCACATATGTATTCCTCTTGAATGGCAAGTTGTTTTGCAGACACAGTGCTCACAAGAGGCAACATTAATTTGTTATTTAAGTAGTTCACATATCTAAGCCCAAGTCAAACAAGCTCCACAATGTTTTGGTCAGACAAAGATTGAATCCATGCCCCTGGTTTTGGCTTACTAGTAGCCACTGTCCTTCTCTAACCTAGGTCACACTTTCCACTAAGTCTTAAAGTGGTTTGAGTTTGGCTTAATAAGATGCTGTGGTGTATTCAGTGTGTGTACATTTTCAAGTCAGATCTGACTTCTGATAAGTGCCTGGACAAGTCCCTGTGATTTTGGATGTCGTTTGACATTGCCTGCTTGGTAGGGCTGAGAGAGAGTGACTGGCTCAAGTCACCCAGCTGGTTTTGTGCCCAAGGCAAGACATAGGCAGCATCTCCTGGTTTCTAGCCTGATGGCTTAACTACTATTTTAACTGGTTCTTATATTCAGTAGGTGACAGTTAAAAAAACTGTGGTTTGCTGCAATGTGTGAACCTAATCATTCTGAAAAGTGGCAGACTGAGAACTAAGGCTGGTTTTGATAACCTATATAAAGCCTCTAGCAAGACCACGTAGCACTTTTAATATGTTTGTTACTCCTTTCTTGAGTAAGAAGTAGACCCAATACTCGTGCTTCAAAATTCCCTCTCTAGCAAGATTTTTCTCCCAGTTGATTAAGGACTAAAAGGTTTTATAAAAAGTTGCAAATGAAACACAGCTGAGAGAGCTGATAGTTTAAAATATACAGTATAAGTAAAATTCAAGGTAATGATGGTAGATTAGAAAAGTGTGAGTAGCTGTTAATGCAGAATTCATTTATTCGCTGTTTCATTTATGTAACTTGCTATTTGTAACTTTAATACTGTTTGAAACATTGAAATTAACTCTCAATGGCTTAGAAATGCAACTATTTCTGTATCTCAAGTATGGTGCAGATGATGCCTAACGTTTTAAGAAAAGCTCAGAATAATTGAAATGGGTACAAAGAAAACAGAAGACTTATATAAGGGACTGAGTATATTAAATCTTGAGAAAAAGATGGCTGGAGGGAGCGAACACTGTAAAGACACTAAAAGGATGCAACGTAGAAGGTTAATATCTGATGTCTATCATTCCAGAGAGCAGAAGATGGAGTACTGGTTTTCAGTTACAGTAAGACAGAAAAGCCAGCCAACCATAAGCACAACTCAACAAAACAATCAATCTCCAAGGGAGATAATGAACCTTCTCAGTCAATGAGCTCAAGAGAAACCAGGCAACTGTCTGCCCTGCAATGAGCAAGGATTGGACTCACTGGGTGAAATGGCCTCTCCCAACCAGGGGTGAAATCCAGCAGATTCTGACAGGTTCTGGAGAACCAGTAGTGGAAATTTTGAGTAGTTTGGAGAACTGGTAAATACCACCTCTGGCTGGCCCCAGAGTGAGGTGGAAATAGAGATTTTGCAATATCCTTCTCCTGGTGTAGGATGGGAATGGAGATTTTGCAGTATCTTTCCCCTGGAGTGGGGTGGGAATGGAGATTTTGCAGTATCCTTCCCCTGGGATGGGGAGGGAAAAGGGATTTTGCAGTATCCTTCCCCTGGGATGGGGAGGGAAAAGGGATTTTGCAGTATCCTTCTCCTGGTGTAGGATGGGAATGGAGATTTTGCAGTATCTTTCCCCTGGAGTGGGGTGGGAATGGAGTTTTTGCAATATCCTTCCCCCAGGGATGGGGTGGGGATGGAGATTTTGCAGTATCCTTCCCCTGCCACGCCCACCAAGCCACTCCCACCAAGTCACACCATGCCCACCAAGCCACGCCCAAAAAACCGGTAGTAAAAAAAAAATGAATTTCACCACTGCTCCCACCCAATTCCATGCCTGAAAATTTCCATTTTCCAATCAGGTTTTTAAAAAAGTCTCGTGAAATTTCTTACTGCAGTGCAAAGAGTAGTGGAGTTCTAAGGTGCACATCCATATGGCCCCTATCCTGATGATGTTTTGAAAGGCATAGAAAACTTAGCTTGTTCTCTTCAACATTGAGGCAGTTTATGAATGAACCCCTATAAGATTTTGTCTTGTATGATATTTTTCTGTTTTGCATGTTTCTCCTCTCTCAGACACTTATTCGTTTTTGTTTTTTTTAATGTGGCACTTTATATGTAAAGTTAGTTGGAGTCAGGTCTTTTTTAAACTCTATTTTTAATTGTTCCAAAGGTGTTTATTCAAGAGGCAACTGGAGTTCAAGAAGTTTCTTGGATGAGAAGCGAAATGTCTTCAAGGAAAAAAAAAACAGGAAGTCCAGTTGCCTCTTGAAAAAGCATCTTTGGGACAACCATGACCTGGATGACTGAGAATCTCCATAGACATCTATTTTTAATTGATAAATAAATAAATAAAATAAAATAAATAAATAAATAAATAATTTTAAAATAAGCAAATAGGATGAACCAGGGTTGAAATGCATGTCAAAGCAAAGGATAAATGCATCACACGCTGGCCACACCCACCCCTGGTTTAGCGAAGGGGGGGGAGTTGCAATATGTCACGTGAAGACAACGTGACGTCACGAGTTTGACACCCCTGGTCTAGAGTGGTCAGTTCTTCCAGCCTCCAGATATAGAGCTCGGGGGAAAAAATTACCACGTTTTCTACCTTAAGTCCTAATGGCTTCATTAACACATTCATACCATTTTCTCAGCAGCAATAGTTTAGTTTACTGTCATTGCACCTCGTACAACAAAATTAAATGCCATCTTCAGTGTACATTATAACCATAAAAATAAAACACAAACACACATCCTTCACATTCTATACAATATAGAAATAGCTTTCCATTCCCCAGAGAGGTGTCTTTAATCTGCAGTCCTGCAATTCCATGGAGAGAATTCAAAGTTACAACAGCACTGAAAAAGGTGACTCATGGCTGTTTTTCACAATCACAACCATTACAGCAAAGGTCTTCAAACTTGGCCGCTTTAAGATTTGTGGACTTCAACTCCCAGAATTCTCCAGCCAGCATAGAATTCTGGGAGTTGAAGTCCACAAGTCTTAAAGCAGCCAAATTTGAAGACCTCTGCATTAGAGCATCCCAATGGGCACGTGATCAAAATTCAGATGCTTGGCAATTGGCATGTACATGTGACCATTGCGGTGTTCCACAGGGGTCATGTGATCCCCTTTTGTGGCCTTCTGACAAGCAGTCAACGAGGAAGCCAGATTCATTTAACAACCGTGTTACCATTTTAACAACTGCAGTACTGTAATTCACTTAACAACTGTAGCAAGAAAGTTCGTAATATGGTGAAAAGCTTATTTAATAAAACAGAAATTTTGGACTCAATTGTGGTCATAAGGTGAGGACTGCCTCAGTGGTAGGTTTCAAATTTTTTTACTACCGGTTCTGTGGGTGTGGCTTGGTGGACGTGGCATGGTGTGGTGGGCGTGGCAGGGGAAGGATACTGTAAAATCTCCGTTCCCTGCCCAATCCAGGGTAAGGATACTGCAAAATCCCCATTTCCTCCCTATCAGCTGGGACTTGGGAGGCAGA